TAAAAATGTGTCTAAGCTTAGAAGTTTGAAAATCAAAGAAATTGAAGGGATGATGTTTTGTGCTGGTTCCCACCTTGGTAAATAAAGGGAGAGGGTAGAAATGCCTGAAAAAGCTGGTCAGAGGCAGAACRTGTACATGCGTAGGTAAATAAATGAGTTTAAGGACGCTTTCCCTGTATAAAGAGCAGTGACTGTTTTACACTGTGCAGTTACAACATTCAAGATTAGCCAGGACAAATCCTATGAAAATCTTAAATACACAACAAGCCTAGCCACTGTCTAGGGMAGTGTATAACAAACCTCAGTATTTAATAACAATGTCAGGTTAAGTTCTAAGAAAGGGTGGAGGCCAGAGCTGTGGCATTGGTGAGGATTTTAAGTCCCTCCAGGAGTTCAATCACTCTTGCCTTTGCCATTCCCTGAAAACAAGGCATTTAAAACTCAGAGCCACATTTCATAGCGTGAAAATAGTATTTGTTGCAACACTGAAAGTCAGAAACAATGCTTTTGTTGGCAGCCTTCCTGACATGTGCCTATTCAGAGCACGGAAGAAATGGTGTGATATGAAATATTGGAGAAACCACTCCAGACAGAGCTCCCCTGCATTACTTTTTGTCTTCATTCCAATAACCACAAAGAGTAAAACTACCCGTGGTGGAAGTGCCACCACAGTGTGTCCTGGTGTGAGTGCAGAGAAACTCCTTGTCCCCCTCTCATGGGAATGCTGGGAGACAAAGGAGGAAAAGTGGAAGGAACGGTAATTTTTGGGAGTATCCTGTACAATCGTGATGCTGCATTTTAAACTCTGGCCACAGTCCCAAAGCAGATTTGCTTATAGCACACCATTTCTTGAAGACATTGCAATTCTGATTAAGGTGAGCTAAAAGAATACCATCTGGAAATGGAATTGAAAAGAGCTGGGCTGAACAGGAGGTATTATGGACAGACTGCTTCTTTCCTGTATCACTACCATAATCTGCATGATCATTGAKCTTAAAGAGAAGCTTTACCCTCTACAGTGAACAATGTATTTAGAGAGTTATGCAGCTACCCAGCTTATTGCCAATTGGACCTTACATCCTCAACACCTGGAGTCTGACTAGCATATCCCTGACTTAATTATTTGAGAATAGCCATAAGTCTTTTCCTATTGCTAGCAGGAAATGTAATCATCGTAAGAACCACTGGTAGTTACAAATTGAAGTCTGATTTAAGAATCTCTCTTACAAGGAYGAAACTGCAGTAAAAATTCGTGGCAGCTGGCATGCAAAAGATTGTGCAGCAATGCTCTGGAAGGATATCAGTGGCAAGCCTACCTAACGTTAAACAAGAAATAAAAGGATGTTATTTTATGAACCTACTAACTGGACATTAAAGCAAACTCTATGCACATCCCTGGCTGGCTTCTGCCATCTATTTCCCTCTGCAATTTCTAAATACTTGATGTCCACCCAAAGTTGATATCATCAAGTGGTGGTATCAAAATTGTAAATAAAACCTTGAATGGATTTATCCAGAAAATACATTGATTTATATGTTCATACAAAGAACTAGAATGACTTGTGGTATTAGTATAATGTATAATTTGCTATATTTATTTAATAAACTTTTCATTTCCTGTCTTGGCAATTTCCCATTCTATTAGGTATTAGTGCAAAATCTGTGCTGTTTGATTATGTCAGTATTTTCTATTAGAATGAAGAGCATATTTTTATCATGACAGTTTTTWAAAAAAAACATATTGAGCAAGTGCTCAGCTGCAGAGAATGCACAGCATTGCCAAAAAGTGGTTCTGGTGCCAAAGTCTGGTGCCAAAACACTAAATGAACAAGTTCAAGTCAAGCATCTGTGACAACAGACCAGCCTGTTCAAAGCATCAACTAGGAGAACAAGAAACGATAACAAAAACACAATTTGGTAGTTGGTTTCTACCCACAAGTGTATGTTTAATACCAAGCTGTGCTCTGCAGGTAGGTGTCTGAAAGGAAATTTCTCATGTTTTGTAAGAGCAAAGTAGAGAACCCTACTTTATCTGAGATTAAGTCAAAGCTTTCTCTTGGTATTAACCSTACCACCCATAACCACACAGGTCCCAATTTGGAATTCTTGTTCAGCCAAAGTGTTTTATATTAAGACCTACAAGGTCAAATCCAGAAAATTGCRCTTTCAATTCAATTGCAACTCTCTACCCAGAAAGATCTCCTGGTTCATCTAATGTGGATAAAAGAGTCGTTTATTCCTGRTGGGTGTTGTTGTGTACTAAGGAGTTTAAATATGCTGAGCCGAGCACTGGCCTGCACGTATGATGAGCATGCCAGTTTACACAGGGCTTCTGCGGGTGTCAGACAGCACATTTTTCACAATGGAAGAGACAAATATCACTGTATCTGTCACAGGTCCTTGGAAACAACCCTGAATGTCAGCATGAGCTTCACTCTTGGCTGACTAAACAGGGAGCAGCACACCTGAAAGAGCGGGTGAGAGCTATGGTGCAGCAACAGCAGGAAATAAGTAGTCTTCATAAATCAGTGCTGCCACTGCATATGTCCCAGGTTCTTTTCATAATTACATTCACTAAGATCACCACATTCCAGTCAGGAAATTTGACTCTATTTTGAAACAAGAACACTGTGGTCAGGTTAAAACCCGGATTCTGAAGTATATCCTGTCTTTATCTGTAGTAGTTCCTTCAAGTGAAGTAATGAAATATATTGACCCAATAGTCCCTGTAATTAATTACATCAAACATCTGTGCAATTATCCCATGACTTGTGGTTGTTTGCTTGGCTGATGTTTGATATCATGGATATCTGCAATATGCAACATCCTGTTAACAAGATCATGCATTTTCATTCCTTGGAAATGTAGTACTTTAAATTCTGAAAATGCTCAGTGAATTCAGTCCAAATCAAGTCTTGTTCCAAGTTCCATTTCCCATTTGTTTGGCAGGGATTTAACTGATGACTCCTGACTATGCCTCCTAGGAGGGCTGCAGTGAAGCAAGGAGGAAAGGCAGTCTCTCTTGAGCTCCTTTTCTGTGCTGGCAGGTAGTGAAGGAGAGATTCAAGGAGCAAAGCTAATGTGAGGATGCTGAGGCAGTTTAGATGAAAGASTCCTTTGGGGCACAGAGGGAAGAAGGACATTTTTCTAGTTAGTTGAGTCAGATAATAAGGGAGGAAGGTTTTGACCCTTCTCACAATTAATCATAATTAATTCTTTGCAAATACCACTTTAAAGAGGAAATTCTGCATTTTCATGAACCTAATGGTTATGGTTAGAGGTACTTATTCTGAAATTATCTGTTTCAACAAACAGCTTCCAGATCACTTGTTTGTATCTGCCATATTTGGGAGTTATAGAATATTTGTCTACTTTTATTTCACAGAATCACAGAATCAATCAAATTGGAAAAGACCTCTGAGATCGTCGAGTCCAAACTATTTGTTTGTTTTTCCATATTTGTTCAAAGTGTCAGCTGGGAAGTGGCTTCTGGTAAGTTTAGAAGCTAWCACCTACCTTATCGTAGAAAAAGAAAAAAGTTACATTTCTAATGAAATTCTTGCATTGGGGAAATGATTGAAAGTGGTGGTTTTCACACTATGATGCCGTTTGGGGATTATGTAGGATRGTCAGGTTTAATCCTGTTCAAGAAGAAAACAGCATTCACCAGTTCAAGATCCAAAACGAAAGAATCCAAGGAGCCCAGCAGAGATTTCCAAGTCAAAAGGTGAAAATGCCTGAAAAGTGCTACATATCTCCACTCAATTAAGGACAGGAATGCTAGAGTGTTAGTGTTTCACCCCTGCATCTTGCTTTGTGGAACAACAAGTAGTTAAAAGGACTGGAAGGAGAGAGAGCTCTAACCACCCAAATCGTGAGGCAACAAGAAAAACTGSCTCAATGTACATCAGCCCTGCAGATCTCTTGCTGAAGGAAAAGAAAAACCAACCCATTTTGTCTTCAAATAAGATGAAGGGAATAAACAAAAAGATAAATGCTGTTTACATATGAAAGAATAGAAATGAAAATTTTCATATGAATTGTGGGATGAAACTAGGTTTTTTTCAGACCTCGTAAGATTTCTGATTTCATCTGCTGTTTGATTATTGACCCTTAACTAGCTGAAATAAAGAGGGCAGTGTTCTGGACTAGCTAATACTGGCTTTTTCTGCCAGGTTAGATGCTTTGGCTCCCCTGTGAAATTGTTTCCTGAGACGCTGCTCTCATTTAATATGTCTTTTGATACATACTTTCAGAGGTATCTGACCGCTGCCGTAGTTCTTCAGCCACCCAGACAACAGACAGTAATCTTTGCAAAGCTGCCACCTCTGAATTTTTACAGAGAATGATTTGGAGGAAATCCTTTTGCCAATATTTAATTTGTTGTTATATTGTGTAATAATGTAAGACTTAAAAATAAGATTGTTATAATGTGGATGAGTCCTTTGGGAAGACTGAGAAAATCTCTTTTAAAGGAAAAAGAAAAATTAAGTAAGTCAGACTAGGATCTGGGTGAAGTTCAGTTAACTTGTGAATTAGACCTGCTGGAGTAGTTTTAACCAGCTTGATTTTTTTATAAATGAGCATAAACCCACTGACTTTGATTTATAAGCATAWAGTATTATGTTTGCGTTCAGCCTTTTCTGTAGAGAGGAATGCTCATTTTATTAATGAATAGACAATTTTAAATGCTTGAGGTTAGATAGGAATCTTTCATTCCAAATTCTGTGTATATGAACATGTAGCTATAAAAGATCTACATTTCTAGCAAYTGATGTCCCTAAACAGAGGATTACATTGGTCCCTTAAATGAGGTTTCAAAACAGAGATTGTGCTACACTTCTGACTCATGCTTAAGCTCTCWACTTAAGTTAAGGCAAGAATTCTAGCTGGGTATTAATTCTTTGTWACCTATCTATAAAAATTCAATTTAAGCTAATGACAATAGCGTCTKTTATTCATACACCCTTGACAGTCCTCCAGTCTTCTAAAACTGTTCTGGTACAAATTCTCCCTAAACTCCTGAAAATCTGACATACATTCAAATAAATATTTGCATCAAATGTCATAGGAAGCCATTGTTTGGATATACCTGACTGGAAAATTTCTATTCTGTTACCAAAAATTAAACAGAGGTAAATACTTGGGTGCTGTAAGCCAGCCCTCTTCTACTTACTTCAGTATAGCTCTCTTGATTATGAATGGGGTTCATGATCTGCTGCAAGAGAGGAGCACACAGCCACTGGTGCTGAAAAGGGATGTTCAACTAGGATTCTCTGTCCTCCACTGGGGTGACTCAGGTGTACACCTGAACATCATTTATTCTGAAACCATAATTTGCATCTCCCAAAAGCCTGAGAAGATCTGTATCTGGATCATGCTCTTTTTTTCTTACCTCTGATTACAAACTGGGCTTTGCCTATTCCAAATTTGTGGCAGGCAAAGGTCGGTTATTTTATAATACATGGCTCAGACCATACGCCTAATAAAAATGAAATGTTGGGAATTTGGGGAAGATGGCCCAGTACAGGAACTGAAGGAGCTGGGTGACCTATGGACAGTCTTGAGAAAGTTACTGTGGAAGGTGGTATGCAGTCAGGAACATATAAAGAGAAGCTGAACTGCTGTCCTTGTAGATATATTATAAACACAAATATCTTGGTCTCTGCTCTGCTAGGTGTGTAAGTATGGGGCAAAATATTTCCACAATGGTCTGCAACTGAAGAACAGAACAACAGGCAGCCAACAGCTAGTAATGTAGAGGAAAAAAGAAGAAAGTCTGGAAGCAGGATATAGTGCAATATGCATGGAGTACAATTCTTTGRGTAAATATTAGCAAAGAATTATTGCAGATATTGATCCAGGTCGAGGGAAGTGGATATGTGTGTGAAATCAKCTGATCTGTTCAGCCACTACACACCTGTTCTCTTGGAGGCATTCCATGGATTGGAAGGACCAAGTGCGAGACTGAAATGCCAAAACACCCTGCCACAGCCCGTTCTGCTGGGCTCACAGCATTGCATAAGACAATCATAAAAGGAGAACTTCACAAAACTGTGTGCAAGATGAAAATAACCTGCAGGAAAAACGTCTGTCCCCTCTGACCATTTACCATCAAGATGTTGCAGTTAAGGCTGGGACTAGGTCAAGGAAGGAAATGAGCTGCATTTTAAACCTCTGTAGCCTCCAGTTATTTGTGTTCAGCCAGTCACCCCTAGCTAATGTTTCTCCTTTTTTTATCTCTGTTATGACAGACCTGACCTACACAAGATGTATCATTTGTAGAAACAGTTCTTTAGGGCATGAGAAGGTCCATGAGAACCTCCTTCAAGATGTGTTCACTGGTGGTGGTGCTGATGGCAGAGGCTCTCGGTCACTGCTTTCACTGACAGCCACGTTATATTGCTACTTCAGYAGTCATGGCAACAGAAAACAGTGTTCAGAGCAGAGAATGGTCTTGATAATAACCCTTTTAATTTTTTTCTTTCAGTTATGCTCTTAAAAGAAGACAGTRCCACACAGATCACCAGTTCCTAACAAGTTTGCTGTACCAATAGAAAAGAGGAGATTTGGAGCAGAGAACAATCACGTCATGAACACTGTTGGCCATTTCGGTGCAGCCTGGGAAGCTGACCCCACGCTTCCACGCATTTATGCTGTGTTTTGCMGATGTTGGAGAAGCAGGAAGAGTGTTGGGCTGAGGGGAAGACAGCCAGGAGGTGAGAGGGAGGAAGAAAGAAGTGCCTGGGTTGGAAAGAGCAAGAAGAAAGAGAACATGATAGCAATGAAAAAGGCTGGAAATGAGCTGGTTTTATACTGGGGTGGGAAAGGAGATGTTCACCTGTGACCAGTCATCTCTGATAGTACCTTTTTATGGTAAAGACTAATTATGAGAATAGCTCATAAGGAAATAACACATCTCCACCTGTATACAGAGAYAGAGGCAGAGGTCACCTTTAAGTGTATGGGATCCTTGTTCTGCTCTGTGGCTTTGTGAAAGAACATTCTGTCAGTTCAGGGTTAAATAAGAATGCCTGTTCCATGTCAGCATGGGTCTTTATCTTGCTAYTAGTTGTGTGTATATGCAGACGGGTGATGGATCTTACACAACTCTCCGGGAGGAGGCTGAGATGGTTTACCACTTTGGAATCTGCAATCCCCAAATAATGCAAAAAGGTGTGTAGACCTTAACAGACGTAACACTTTACACTTTAATTATGTCTAAAGTCCTGATTTCACAGTTGCAGTTCTCAGAATTAGACTCTCATAGCCAGCAGCTCCTCCCAAAATTCAGATCCAAAGCCCAAAGCTGTTGGATAAGCCAGTTTTACCTTCCCAAGGATGCAGGGCTGTGTTGTATTTCTGTGCTTCCCATGCAGAGGAGCAGCAGAAATACAACTGTGTTTGCCCATTACCTAACACATCCTATAGTGACACGTTCCTGTCTTCCCTGAGGTTGTGGAGCTCCCCTATAACAGATCCCCAGCTGGGCCAACTTGGATTTTATGAGTGCACCCAGTGATGAAAGAAAGCTGAATAAAAAAGCTGCAGCCAAAACCAGAACAGATATGAAGCCATAGCAACATGGATACCTTATAGATAATTGTAATTGGATGAGGTAGAGAGGAAAAAAGGGTCAACTACTTCTCAGAAACTGGTAAACCATTTTTAGCATCTAATAAAACAAAAGCAAACTCATTTACTCTTGCCTCTGACACACTTATATGTGAGCTCATATTCTCTATCTGGCCAATAAAAATATTAMCAGTGGGTGGAAAATTAATGAGTATTTCCCAATAAAGAGGACATAAATCAGTATTAAAAAATAGAATACACATATATGAAACCCATAAATGTAATAACAAAGGCCTTGAGATAGGTATATGTACATCAGAAGAAATCAAGCAAGAAGCTCTTAGAAAAAGGGCCATATAAGAAGGAGAAAGAAAAAAAAAATATCTGGCATAAGCTGAGAAAATTGCCTGGTTCAAAATAAATTAGAAAGAGAAATTCATAATTTTTAAAGGAAAAATGCATACTGAGGAAGGAAATAGGGTAAAAAGAGCATTAGTTAAATTTGAAATATATTTCTTTGGGTACAAGCTTAATGGAGATGATTTGTGAAAGACATTATTTTCATGCTAACAGGAAATAGAAAAATACGAAAAGCAAATACATAAATTAATGTTCAGGAGTAAAGATGGGAGTTACAGTTATGATTCCTTTTCCTTAATAGACTTTCAAAATCCCTCATTCCTCCAGCCCTTTGACTTGATTAATTTTGAAGTTTGAGGTTTGGGGTTTGGGGTTTTTTTTTAATATTCAATGCTGTCATAATTTAGTGCAAGAACATGACAGGGCTAGGAATGCCTACTCCTGGTAGCTCTAACTGTAGTACAGGGTAACATTAAAAATGAATATTATCACCCACTTGGAACTTAAATTCTCCATCTCCTGCTCATTTCATGTGCCTTGTAAGAGCCAAATTCCTTGGTTTTACTTTTGAGTTTGAACACGTGTTGCTCAAGGAAGCTTTTAGTTTGAGACCATCTCTGAAATCCCCTTTATAGGTTCAAAAGAATGAATATTCTTAGCCAAGCCCAACTAGAGTTTCCCTCCCTATCAGTGCAAAATATTATTCCTGCAGGATATGAATATGAAAACTTACTTCCTTTCAGTCAGGAAACCTCACCATTTTCTGTCTGAGCTGAACACYGAACCAGGAACCTCAAAGGAACCTAAACTCTGTGACTGCAACATCCTGATTTAATGATTCAACACAGTCTTCATTTCAATGACAACTTTAAAAGGTAGGTGCTATAGGTTATTTTTCAGGTATGATGGAAGAACGTGCACTCCTTTATTCACCTCTCTGACACTTTCCCCTTTCTTCACTTTAAAGTAGGAACCACTGCTGCCAGAAAATTCATACAACAAGTGGAAAAGCACCTTTCCACCAGATATGTGGCAAAGATATGTAAGGGATGTCAAACTAACATTTTCTATATGTTCTGCTCCCTGACCTTTTAGATGTTTATGAAAATGAGAATGGGAAAAAAAAAAGTAATTTCTCTTGAGGTTTTTTCTCTTCACTTCCTTTGGAGCTGTGTTTTTTGAAAGTGCATTCACATTTGCTCACAAGCCATTTTTATCTTTAAAATTGATTCAGATGAAAAATCTTTGGATTGTGTTATTGCATATTAAACAAAAAAAAAGTAAGAGAAGCAGAATTTTTGCTTGCTCTGCATTTATTTTATGTCTTTTGATCTAGTCTCTGTCCTGGTGTTGATACTACTCTGAAACCTGTGGTAAAATGCTAGGGTGAGAAAGAAGCTTAGCTCTTTGAAATGATTGTGGTCAAATTTGTGTTACACCCTCTGTGATCTGATAAMATCAAATTGAACATGTAAACCTTTGCAGAGACATACACATTCAGGTAATCCATTTATTTGCAGACTTGAACAAATATTGACAGAAGCAACTTCTGTGGGTAATGACCCACCACAGTGATGACAGATCACAGCCCTAACTAGAGCCTGTGCATGAAATCACTGGATGAACAGAGCTTGGCTTCATTTCTCCAGAAGTATAATGTGTTTTCCTCTTTTGCATTAAAATTGATCAAGACAAAGGAATGACACAGATCTTCCTGGGTCAGCTGTCAGAAGCTACTTCTGAATGCTGTTTTTTAGTGGTGTTTTCTACAGAATGGTGTAAATTCAGGTGAAGCTATGCTACATGTTCCAGTCACATTCTAGGTGAGCTGAATGATGCTCTGGGGGTGCCTCTCTCCACTGCCAGTGGAGGGGGACGATGAAACTCAGTGTTGGAKTTGAGACACCCAGTTAAGTGCATTTCACACTGAGTTTTTCACTGGCTKGGATTCCATGTAGGCTGGGATGCTACAGCCTAAGTGTGAGAGATCTTATTAGATCAGTGTAAAGCATCATACATGTGAATACCCATCTGAAAACTGCTTTTTGGAGAATATCTCATCCAGTTTTAYAGATGCTAGATGTGATGTGATGTGATGCTTACAGTAGACATATTGTGGAATTACTAAAAATGTAGCAGTAATATTTTTATAATAGCAATAGTCTGAAGATATTTGTAATGTAAATCTTTTGGGTATGGGTAAAGACCTTAAAAACAGACATAAGTATAAAAGTTCTTAGGTTTCTCTCTTCAGAGAGAAATAGCTCTCTCTTCAGTTGGTAGCAGTTTGGATACTTGCAGGTTCCTAAATTGCTTATAATATCATCTTGCTTTCCATCTGACTTTTCATTCTAGAGTTCTATCCCCAAAAAAAGTGTTGAGTCTGAGATGGCCCGTATCATCATGGTTCAACAGAGGAAAAGAAAGGGAAACTATTTTGTTATTTTTAGAAGAGAAACTGCCCTCCTATATGTTCACCAAGTACTCCTCCCTCCGTACATCTTGCGTGCCTGGCTGATGAGGAACCACAGGTTTTAATATATCTGACTCTCCAAAGAGTGTCTTTTGTAGATGTGATGCCAACGTGCAGCTGTGCACACCTCAAAGCCTTCTTGGTATATTTTGATCCATACAAGGGTTGCTGCTGGAAGAACTGGCCAGGRACATTATGCCAGGATAAATTTGCTAAAAATATCTTTCTAGTCACCAGTCAGCTCCAGAAAAAAACATCCCTGCACCTCTATCCCTTCTCCCTGGTGAAAAGAAGAAGCCCTCTGCCCACTTGCTTTTAGGCTCACTTTTGGTTTTCAAAGGATTTTAGTGTCTTAACCAGCAAACAAAGACATTGCAGGTTGATTTTCTCCCCTATATATTTTCCCTTCTCTTTTAATCCAGATTTTGGGTGAACATTTCCTCCAGGCACATTATACCTTTTTCTTTTTCTTTTTCTTTTTCTTTTTCTTTTTCTTTTTCTTTTTCTTTTTCTTTTTCTTTTTCTTTTTCTTTTTCTTTTTCTTTTTCTTTT